TAACTAACAGTGGCTGTCTGACTTTTCTGATAAGATGGAAATTTATAAGTCCAGAACTAAGTTTTTCATTAACCAAACAGCTATGTGTACTGCAATGCATGCTGCATACTATAAAAGTTGCAATAATACGTTCTTTCCCCTACAGAGGTTCACAACAGACTAGAGGAACTAAATAACACACTAAATATTATTAAATATAAGGTATTATATTTTAAAACTGTTCAAATACTATTAAAATACTTTGATAACATCTGTGTAATTTCATCTTTTCACAGAAGCTAAGGTGAAGGAAAAGAACGGAAAGGAGAAAAATGGAGTCCTCTTATAACCTGATATGAGCAGTACTGTACTTTTTTTTTAATACTGTTGATTAGAATAATCAATTGAGTCTATTATACTTTGTGAAGTAAAACTAAATGGTTTTCTACTAAAATCAGAAACAAGGTAAGGAAGGTAATCTCTAGTGCTGGGTTGGGGGGTGGTTTGCAGTGTGGGGATCATGAGTATTGGTTGTAAGTATTGTAAACTTTAGTAACTCCATATGAGTTAAGTTTCTCCAGTTTAGCAGGTGGTGTGTTTCCTTTGTGGAATTCCTGAAAGTTACAGTTTCTTGTCTCTGACCTTTAGATGTGTGGTTGTCCGGGTTACTACTACCCACGGTGGGTTGTTTTTGTTGAGCCTGTTTGCTCTTTTCCTGTGTGAACTTTCACTTACTATGGTAATCCCATCCCATAATAGTTTGTGGGGTTTTTTTGTTTTGTTTTGTTTTTTTGTTTTTGCTTTAAAAGGCCGACGCCTGCCCGCAATAAACGTCGCCTTGATCAGACTCTTGTCTTGGCGTCCTTCCTTTCTCTCTGCCCCATCTCCACCCCGCTGCTCTTTCAGGTTTGAGGCACTGCTGGACATTGCTCTTAGTCGCCGGCTTGCGACATTGCAGGATACAAGGTTAATAAAAAAGGTCACTTGCTTTTTATATACCAACAATAAAAAAAAAAACTGAAATTGAGAATTTAAAACACAGTACCAAGTTGGACTTGGCAGTACATGCCTGTTATCCCAGCACTCTAGGAGGGTGAAGCAACATAAAGATTGCGAGTTCAAGCCCAGCCTGGACAACTTAGTAAGATCCCATTTCAAAATAAAAAATGAAAAAAGAACTGGGCATAGGTTCACTCTTACATACTGCAAAAAATAAAATAAAATTTTAAACACAATACCACACACATTAGCACCATTAAAAGAAAAAGTTTAGCTCTGAATCTAATGGAATATGTGTAGGGTATATGTGAGAAAAAGTACAAAGTTCCAATGAAAGAAATCACAAAAGATCTACGGAGAAAGAGACCATACAAATAGCTAAGAAGTCTCAATACTGTCAAGATGTCAGTTCTTCCTAACTTAATCTATAGTTTTAACACAATCACCAATTCAAATCCCTACCAGTTATTCTGTGGACACTGAGAAACTGCATCTAATGCTGATCTGGAATAAGAAGACCCAGAATAACAGCCAATGCAATAATGAAGAAGAAAACGTTGAAAGGTTTACCTTATCCCTCCTAAAGACTTACTATATCAGGCTGCAGTAATCAAGACTGAGGCATGTTCTTGATCACTACAGCATGGTAGAAAACAAATTAGAGAAACAGATTAGAGGGCCCAAAAATTGACTCACATAACCATGACAGGTCATTGACAAAGGAATAAAGAAAGCAATGGAAAAAATGAAGTCTTTTTGAACAAATGGTGTGGAAACAAAGGGACATACACACACAAACAAAACAAATATAGGGATTGGCAGTGTAACTCAAGGGAAGAACGCCTGCCTTGCATGCTTGAGGCCCTGAGTTCAATACCTACCACCACAAAAACATAAATTAAAAAAATAAATTTAGACACAGATACTACACCCTTCACAAAAACTAACTCAAAATGGATGACTGACAAATGCAAAATGCAACACCATAAAACTCTTAGAAGATAACATGAGAAAAAAAATCTAGATGATCTTGGGTTTAGCCATTAATGACTTTTAGATACAGTAACAAAGCATAATTCTTCTTTTAATTTGGGAAATTGGATTTGACTAACACTAACAACTTCTGCTCTGTGATAAACATTTTAAAGAAAATAAAAAGACAAGCCAGACTGAGTGAAAATATTTGTAAAACAAATACCTGACAAAGGAATGGTATCCAAAACACACAAGGAACTCTCAAACCTTAATACCAAACAACCCTATTAAAAAATAAGCAACAGATCTGAAGAGACACCTCACCAAAGAAGATATGCAGGTAGAAAATACATACTCAAAAAGATATTTAACATCATGTCATTAACAGATTAATAAAAGCAACAGAGTACAGCACATGTTCAGCATGTTCAAAGCTGTGTGTTGACCCCACTCCCAGCATCCAAAAGAAAACACACAACCACAATTAGACACCACCACACACTCATCAGAAAGGCTGAAATCCAAACTACTGACAACAGCAAATGCTGACAAGTCGTGGACAACATGAACACTTACTCATTGCTAGAAGGAATAAAAAAATGGTAGAGTCACTCTGGAAGACAATTTGGCAGTTTCCTACAAAACCAAACATACACCTGCCACATAACTCAGCAACTATACCCTTTGGTATCTTTCCAAATGAAGTGAAAAATATATGTCTTCACAAAAGCCTCCACACTAATGTTTACAGCCACTCTACTGATAACTGCCAAAAATTGCAAGCAAACAAGATATCCTCCAGTAGGCAAATAGAAAAGCTGATGTATTCAGACAACAGAAGATTATTCAGCACTAAAAAGAAATGAGCCAACTGGACATAGTAGTACACACTTATAATCCTAGCTACTTGGGAGGCTGATGAAGGAGGATCAAAAGTTTGAGGCCTGGGCAACTTAGCAAGTCCCGGACTGTTATAAATAAGTAAAGACAGGGATGTGGCTCTGTGGTAAAGCACTTGCCTGGCATGTGTGAAGTCCTGAGTTCAACCATCAATACCACAAAACAGAAAAGAGCTATCAAGCCATGAAGAGACATAGGAATTTTTAACACACATTACTAAGTGCAAGAAGCCACTTAGTCTGAAAAGTCTGAAAAGACTACACAGTACATGACTCCAACTATATGATATTCTGGAAATGGTGAAACTTCATAAACAGAAAATAGATCAATGGTTGTCAGGGGCTTGAGGGAGGAAACCAGGAATGAATAGGAGGTAGAGCACAGAAGATGTTTAGGGCAGGGACCATGCATGCCATTATACATGGTTAAAACACACTGAAGATTTAACATGAAGAGCAAACCCTAAAACTCTGGACCTTAGTTATTAATGTAACAATAACAGCTCATTAGCTGTAATAAAATAAGATATTAATAATATAGAAAACTGGAGGAGGGGCAGTGAACAGGTATAGACTTTCAAATAAATTTTTTCTATAAGCCTGAAACTACTCTAAAAACTAAAGTAATTAATTTTTAAAATCTATTTAATCTCATATTTCTCAAGGAAACTGAGGGGTAGGAGCTGGGAGGAGGGTCTCCTATATTGATATGGATAACTATTGAGATTCTCAAGTAATAATAAAATGTACCATAGCCACACTAACTAAATAAATGCAAGAGTGCCATAATTCAACAGGGTGAAAGCCCCATAACTAGCTTAAAAATGAAATACGACATCTTAAATTACTTCTAATTTACCACTCATAAACAAAAATGGCTACTGAAAAGGAAAAAAAAGCAAAAGGGTTTAGAAAGTACATTTTAGCTTACCTCAACAAACCGCCTGAAATTTGTCTAACTCTAGTTAAGAAATGTGGCTTTTCTGAATAGGAAAACGTTGAAGAATAATGAAATTCGGTTGACTGTAAATGGACTGATCCTGTGCTGAACACATAGTAAAGAATGAATAAATACATATTACCCACTTTCATATACAGTGGGTAGTATGATTATACATTACAACTCAACATAAGGTGTAATGTATATCCACTTAATATCTGAACAAATATAATTTCCAAAGGACGGAAGAAAACAATTCCTCTGACTCTCATTCACAATCTATCTAAAAACGAATCGTATTGTTAATTTCAAGTCTTGGAGTATGGGCACTGTTAGCTACTATAGAATATTCAAGTATCACCTGAAGAAAGTTCAAAAATAGTGGCATAAATTCACACACAAAAAAGTAGTATCTGGCAAGGCGGGGTGAGGGGAGGGGAGAAAAAAATAACTGAGATGTGTTATGTATCTGGATCAATGAATGTAATCATTATGTACTGCAAATATATACTGATAATTATTTTAAGTCATATCTGGCACACAAATGGCAATTTTTTAATCAAACATTATTCAAGAAAGTATGTCAGAATTTCTGATCATGTCTCATTATTTTCTTTAAAAAGTAACTCACTAAGAAGATCTCTATTAAAAAGCATTTTACAAGTATGTGAGATTTGTTTCTCTACTGAAACCAGAACTACCAGAACTTGAGAGAAGAGCACATTAACAAGTTGAGAAGACAGAGGTAATCAGCATATTGGACACTAATGGAACATGGAACCTACAATATCCATCCTCCAGTCATAAGGCACAAATTAGGCTGCTTCTCTGTTGTGAAGCAATCTTTCAGTAAAGGAGCAGCAGGGACGAATACAACATATGAATAATGACTTGAACAGGTTCCCGGGGAAGAAAACACATGACATGATAGATTACACACCAATGCTCTTTTTTCTTACTCTTACTGGGTTACTGGTAGAGAAAGTGAAATTTCGAGTCTTTAGTTCTATTTGAAGTTTTCTTTTTAAATAAATTTTTAGTAATACTGAATAAAATTATACTGGTATTAACTTTTTTTAAAATTTGGTGAAAGTGAAATATTTAATGTGCCATTATATTTCATGATGACACTTACAAAATGCTTTCACCTGTCGCACACCCACCAGAGCACACACACAGTAACACCAGAAGGCAATGCTCTGCTTTACCTTCTGCTGAAAAGTCTGCTACCTCCAACGCTTGAGGTCCATACACGAAGCCCTTCTGGAATCTATGAATACAGCAGAAGCAAAAGGCAGAGAAGTTTATGCAGATTTAAAGTTACACTGCCCAAAACATAAAATGCCAAATGCCTACCAACATGCCTACATATCTGCCAAGGAAATCAGATTTTAGACTGATAATGAGCAAATCAACAACATATTGCAAATATTCACAGTTCATGACTGATTATGCAGCTAGTTACACGAAAGAGCAAAAGTTGAGCCTTAATTTATATTCTTAGCAAAAGACGTGAATCACACCATAGGAAAAATTAAGAGAGCAATAAATTCATGTATGTCAAAATTAACAATTCATTTTTTAAAAATTATCTAAGAGCCAATACATATATAAAAGAACATAGAAGAAACTAAGTAGAAAATATAGTTCACAAAAATGGAGTGTGGAGGACCCTACAGTTCAAGAGACATTTTCTTTCTCTCTTTTTTTTCTAGTACTATGGATTGAACTTAGGACCTTGTGCTTGCAAGGCAGGCGCGGTGCCACTGAGCTAAATCCATGGCCCCACGACACACTTTAAGACCAAAATTATCGGGAATTTAAGAGAAAAATATCTAGTGATGGGGATTGAGCTCAGTGGTGCCGCCCCTGCCTTGCAAGCATGTCCTTGGGGGGCGGGATCTAAAACACAACTAGAAGAGAACACAGGAAAGAAGGACAATTAAAACTACAAAGCTTACTCCAGTGGCAAGATTTAATTCTGAGAGTAATGCAGACATGAGCAGAGCTGGCAAAGTGGCTTGGTAGTGGAGCACCTGCCTGGCACACACAAAAACCTGAATTTAATCTCTAGCACCACAAAAAAGGGGGAAGATGACCAAGATACTGCACTGGGAAAAAATCTACCTTATTCCAATATTATAAAATAAAAGTAAACATGAAACATAAAAAAGCCTTTTCAGAAAACACTGCTGTAAAGTATTAAAGATTTAATCAGGTCATAATTTAGAACTCAGATTTTTTTTGTGTGTGTGTGATGGTAGGGATAAAAGGCTCTAAAAATTATAGCTGGACTATTTAAAATAAACTAAGCAGGGGGCCGAGGATTTAGCTCACCTGCCTTGCAAGCACAAGGACCCAAGTTCGAACACAGGTACCCCAAAAAATAAATAAATAAAACTAATCAATTTCATCAGCTATTAAATTCAAACAAGGAGGACATGTTATCTTTATGTAATATTTAGAAATCCTTACAAGTATCATCAAATAATTTAAAAAGAAGGACCAAAGCATTGGCTTAAGCCAAATATGGTGGTACACACCTGTAATTCCAGCACTCTGGGAAACTGAGGAAGGCTAGCTGCAACTTTGAGCCTAGCTGGGACAACTCAACAATGTCATAAGACCCTGTCTCAAAAGTTAAAAATTAAAAAAGGGCTAGCAGGGCAGTTTAGCACAGTGGTCCTAGGTTTACTCCTTAGGGAGAGAAGGCAGGAGGGAGAGGGGTATGAGAGGAGAAGAGAGAGAGAGAGAGAATATGCGAAGGAAGAAATAAAGTTTATAAAACACTGGCATGAAATCAAGGACTTGAGTTCAAGTTCAATTAGATCACTTAACAGCTTGACACCAGGCCTTCAATCTCACAGTATAATTTGGGTTGTTGAATAAGGGGTCCTTCACTATCTCTCAGATTTATACTTATATCAAATGGAATAAAGTATTAAATGTTGTAAGTCACAGAATGCTACATTATGCAAAAAATTTAAATCCATGCATTTGTCTTATTTTACTAATTCAAGCTTTCTTGACTGCTATTGCCACTAAAGTGATTCCTTGGCTTTCTATGGCCCTTAGCACCAGTTTAGTCTAGAACACATAAAAATGTTGGCTGAATGAATGAAGTTCAAAGAAACAATCATTCTTCAGGACTTCAAAAACCTCATATTTGGGCTGGGAGTGACACATACCCCTCATGTTCTCAAACACTTCTGCACACTGTTACCTTCATTTCAACGGCCAAAAAAAAAAAAAAAAAAATCCTAATATCAAGGAATATATCTGAAGATACCAGTATTTTAAACCAGTTGGTAATCATTAATTTCCTTAACTATAAAATACCATTGTTCTTCCAAAACAAACCAAGTTTCTTTACTAGATAAGCACATTTTCAGAACAAGTTTGAAGTGTTCAAGAAAAGAAGGCAACAAAAATATCTATTTTTAAGACATCCACACAATAAAGATTTATTCAGGATCAATTATGTGTACTAAGGACTTTGACAATGTCAATTTACATTTTAAACTGATCGCTTGTAAAGGTGGATGTATTATCTAGATTTAAGTTCACTTAAAACAAGACAAATAGAGGTGTATTTCTCACACTGAAGTCCAAGTTTGGTAAGATAACTCTAGAATCATAAACATTGTATTAGGCAGTTAATATAAAGAACGATGAAACTGGGGATGGGGAAGCAGAAGCAGGAAGGGAAAAGGGAAGTAAAATGATTAAGATGTGATGTGTATATGTACCAATTCCCCAAGATGAATGTAATTATTATGTATCCTAAGCATATACCAATAAATCAATGTTTTTAAAAAAGAATTATGAGATCTTTGATAGAAAAGGTACTAATTACTAATTCCATCCTTGAAAAAGCTTAGAAAGTATTTCAAAATTTTTTTGTTTTTTAAAGAAAAAAATCAAACTTTCAAGATTTTGATTTTCTATTTTTGATGAGCTGGTTTACCCCTAAGATGGCAGTCACTGTACTGCAGTGCCTACTAACGTAGCAGTAGGTTCTTTATGTACATCATCTTGACTGATTCTCAAAAAAGTCCTGTGGGGGTTTTTGTTACTTCATTTTAAAGGATGAGCAGTATATAATTTGCTAAAATAGCTGAGTTCTGAGCTCAGAAATGTCTGCCGCTAACAACTGCCCATTACATGTCAGCTCTTAAATTCTTAAGTATAGACATAAACTGCAGAGATCAAGAGAAAGTTACCAATTACAAACTTACAGCTAACTTAGCTGTGTTATGCTTCATCTACCATTCATAATATTTTAGTGGGTTACTAAATCATCTTTTAAATGAAGGAGAAGACTTGACTAAGAATACAACCAATGAAACAAATTTAAGCTGATAAATTTTAAATTAAAAATGTGAATAAAAAACAGCAGCAGAATTTCTTGATATAGCTTCCTTATTATGATCTTTAATTCCCTCTGATGTAAAGTAGAATACACAAGGGACACTGTCCCTCCTAAACTCTGCATATGTTTCACAGTAAGAAAACCTACTTCTCAGAACATAATACAGTACTTAGAATAGCAGCTCAGATAAGTACCGCATCCATTAAAAGGTAAATGGTATATTTAAAAAAGTAAATGATATCGACAGAACCTACAAAGACTAAGACCTTTAGATGGCATAGTGGTGCATACCTGTAATCCCAGAAATTTAGTAGACTGAGGAAAGAGAATCACAATCTTCAGGGTAGCTTGGATCCTGGGCAACTTAGCAAAAACCCTGTCTCAAAAACTAAAATGTCTGGGGACATAGCTTAAGGGGAGAGTACTTGCCTAGCTAGCTTGTGCAAGGCCCTGGTTCAATCCCCAGTAAAGGGATGGGGTGGGGCAGCAACACTAAGGAAACTCAACAAGGTGGCAACCTAGGAGAATAAATTAATCTAATGCTGGGAAGCACACTTTCTGGTCCCCCTTCTGTCTCTCTTAGACAGAAGCTTTCTTTCTCTCAATAAATTTTTCCTACTCTTAACCTCCATTGTTCCTAGAATTCATTCTTCAATTTTAGAGAACATGAACTCGTGTTTCAGATATCTAGCAGGTTTGGGAGTTACATCTCTTTCCCCTGTATCATTTTGGAGGTCTTCCACCAAGATTACTGGTCGGAGAAGCCGTAGTGGGGGTACAACACATACACATTACAGTAAGCTAAAAAGGATCTTTAAAAAAAATGGAAGGAACAAGCAAGAAACAAATATAAAAAGAGAGAAGGCAATCTGATATCAAAACATGAAATTCAACTGAGAAAATGGAGAAGTCAATTAAAATTTTAAACAAATGAAAAAACTTCAGAGGAAGAATCTATTTCTCTTGAGCGAAGTTTGTGTGAAGTCAGCCTTGTACCTGACACTTCAGTGTGACATTTCACTATTACATGAAAGAACAATATTACAAGTTTTCTTGTATCTCAAAGAGATGTGATAACAGGTGGTCAAGTTAACCACTCCAGGATGTCAATGACACAAATGAACTTGCTGTGAAATTCAATTGATTTTTACAGTGAAAGTGTGATTACAGATAAATACATAGTGTCTGCTTTGCAAAGGTGACATTTTAATGTGCTGCTTTTGAATTTTTGTAGGTGTTCTCCGACCAAAAACTTTGAAATCTCTCAGCCACTATAAAAACTTGCAAGAGTTGAATGTGTCTGACTGTCCAACACTCACAGACGAGTTAGACACACATTTCCGAAGGCTGCCCTGGAATCCTATATCTCAATCTCTCCAACACGGCCATCACTAACAGGACGATGTGACTCCTGCCCAGGTTCTTCCACAACTGACAGAATCTTAGCTTGGCTTACTGCTGAAAGTTCAGAGACAAAGATTTACAGTACCTGAACTTGGGGAATGGATACCACAAGCTCATCTACCTGGACCTTTCCAGCTGCAAACAGGCTTTAGTGGAGAAGTGCCAGTGTATTACATCAGTGGTTTTCACTGGCTCACCACAGATCTCTGATAGTGCTTTCAACACTCTATGTGCAGCCTCAGGAAGATCCAATTTGAAGGAAATAAAAGGATCACTGATGCATCTTTCAAATTTATGACAAAAATTATCCAAATATCCATCACATTTACATGGCCTACTGCAAGGGAATAACAGATGGTAGCCTCAAGTCACTTTCGCCTATGAAGCAACTGACTGTGTTGAATTTGGCAAACTGTGTAAGGATTAGTGATAAGGGACTAAAGCAATTTCTTGATAGTCCTTTGAGTATCAAGATAAGAGAGCTCAATTTAAGT